TGGGACACCTGAGAAAGAGGCTGGTGTACCTCTCCCAAGCATCCCTAATGGTCTCATCCTCATCCTGAGAAAAGTGTGTAATCTGCTTCTGGAGATCAGCTGTCTTGGATGGAGGATGGTAGCGGGTGAGGAACTTGTCCGCCAGGTTGGCGAACGTGGTGATGGAGCCCGGAGGTCGAGTGTCTAGCCACTCCTTGGCCTGCCCCTCAAGAGTGAAAGGGAAGTACCGCAGCTGGATGGCATCTGCTGGGACCCCGTTGATCTTGATTCCATCGATGAGCTCGTGGAATCGCCTGAGGTGTGATCGAGGGCACTCTCCCTCCTTACCACGGAACACTACTGAACCGCGCAGCATGGTGATCACGGAGGTGCTCACCTCAAAGTTGTTGGCTGGGACCTGAGGGTGTTGAATAGGTGACCTCATGTCCGCAGCCCTAGCGGTCCAGTAGGAGCCCATGGTCTGCTCCCCGGGGATCAGATCGTTGTTCTGCGGATCCCCCATCTCGCCTTCTTCTTCTTCTTCTCCTAACTGCAGCTGTGACAGCGCCTCCTCCGCAGCCAGTCGCGCCTTTAGAGCCCGCTTGAAGTTCCTACAAGTTCGTTCAAGCTCCTGGTCTAATGGTAGTAGATCTCCCGACTGGCTACGGGTCATGCACTACCTACACACAATCAGTAGAAGCAACCCGTGAAGGCACACAGGTGGAAGAGATAAAATGCAGTAAATAAAAGCTAGAGTAACAAATTATCACGTTTCTCCAATAACCTAGAGGGTCCCCGGCAACGGCGCCAAAAACTTGACACGCCAAAACACAACACCAAACTGCGACCAAGTGTAATCGCAGTCCGGGAATGCAGTAACAGGCAAGTTATATTATCAACCCGGGGTCTAGATCTACTGCTTACTCCGTGATTCTCTATTATCTAGCAAACTAATTCGAGTGATTGTTGTTTAAAGCAAAAGCAGTAAGAAAGCAGGAAATGGTTCGGTTTTCAAAAGCAGGTAAGAGTCACTCGGGATTGAGTCCCCCTAGCCCCTTAGTTAGGTTCAATTGCAATTCCCTGGGTTGATTTACTGTTGATTAGACTGCGGAAGATCCGACAGTAGCTTGGAATCTCTTAAGCTGACCAAGCCCTCTCAGTCTAACTACCCGGCAGACGACTAGTCTTCACCGGGATAGAAAGCTGAGGCTGTGAACACAGAACTCCACTACTGGCGTCAAGAACACCAGTACAAAGTAGTCCACTGGCTAACTCTCGTATAGCCAATCTCCTACTATCGAATGAAGAGGCTCTAACAACCTAATCAGATTCTATCTATCTCAGGTTGAAGCAGAAATTGAGACAAGCTGATCAGACTCAAATCAATTCATGAAACATGCGTCATTCGATTAAAATCAAACAATAATATCATCCCAAGTCATTACAATCAAATCCCTAACACAAGGAACTAGGGTTCTTCATACCCAAGTGAGAGAAGGGTTCTACTCCATAGAGAGAGAAGAGAAAACAAGAATCGGATTAGTCATACTCATAACGATGAGGATAATCTGCTCCGGGACGATGATGTTCACTCCTATGACGATCTCCAGGCTCGATTCGATGAAATCCAGCTCCAAGATAGCTTCTAGGATGAGTTCTTCGCACTTTCTCTCTATAGGGCTCTGTTTTTGCTCTGAAAACACGATTCTCTCACTTTTGGCTCGGAATAGACCTCAAAACCGGGTTTCCCGACTTGCACGGCCAGGTGCACGGCCGTGCACATCACCATTCTAGCCGTGCACCATGAAACGCACCGTATCACTAAAGCTCGAACTCAGTCATCTTGCACGGCCAGGCGCACGGCCGTGCAAGCCTGGATTGTGCCCGTGCACGGCCTCGGCGTGAGGCGCACGGCCAAATGGCTCATGTGCACGGCCGTGCAGCCTCCTGGTCTGCCCGTGCACTCCTCCAAAAGCTCGCCCTTCGTCCGTTCTTCGTCCAATCGACCCCAGACTCGCTCCTAAGCCTTCATTCACGTACTAGGACCTGAAATAACACAAACAAGCACAACCTAGCGTGAAATCGGCCTAAAACACGAGAATCAACACCTCAAACGGTGTAAGTATGAGGGTAAAAACATGTGTAAATGACGGTCTATCAGGGACCCACCGATCCCCCCAGATACGGACTTGACTGTCGTTTCCAATCCTCCACCTTAACCCCCTGTTCAATAACTCTTGGGCACTAAGTAAGCTACGCCATACAAAACTCGGTTGATACCCCAGAGTCGCTTCCAGGACCGACGATCGTTTATGGTATTTTTCCTTTAGGATACGAGCAATAAGCGAGTCTGGTCTCTGGATCAGGTTCCATAGTTGCTTAGCCAGTAGCGCCTCATTAAAACCTTTCAGATCCCGAAACCCCATCCCTCCATCCTGTTTAGGGCTAACCATCACCTCTCTTCTCAGCCCGTGCGTTCTTTTTTCAGCTGCTCGTTGCCCCCACAAGAAGTTCATGATCATACTATGCACCTCATCAATAACTCCTTCTGGTACCTTGAACACGGACATTGCATAACTAAACTGAGCCTGTGCCACAGATTTTATCAAAACTTCTCTTGCTGCCACCGAGAGAGTTCTCTCCTTCCAGCCGCTCAGCTTTTTCCGCATTCTATCCTGTATACCTTCAAACAGCTGTTTCTTTGATCTCCCTGCTTCCGTTGCTAGCCCAAGATATTTATTATGTTTCTCTACCCCTCTCATTCCCAGCACGCCTCCAATCTCCAGTCTTCGGTGTGGCAGCACATTTGAGCTGAAAGACACCTCCGATTTCTCGAAACTGACTAGCTGTCCTGATTCGCTCTCATAGTCCTTCAAAATTCTTTTCAGCTCCTTGCTTTCCTCAATAGTCGCCCTGACAAAAAAGATACAGTCGTCAGCAAAAAACAGATGGGACACAACCGGAGCTCCCAGAGCCGGCTGTAACCCATGAATAATTTTATCACGAACTGCCAGGGCCGTATATGCGGACAGCCCTTCTGCACATAGCAAGAAAAGGTACGGCGAGAGCGGGTCGCCTTGTCGTAGACCACGGCTAGGAATCAGCACCGGGGACCGATGGCCATTAACCAGGATCGAAAAAGAAACTGATTTCACGCAGCACATCACTACCGCCACCCACTTCTCATCGAATCCCATTCTTCTCATCACTCCCTCCAGAAAATGCCACTCAACCCGATCATAAGCTTTCGCCATATCCGTTTTTGCAGCCAAATAACCAGTACCCTTCTTCTTCTTCTTCTTCTTCTTCTTCTTCTTCTTCTTCATAGTGTGAAAACATTCGAACGCCGCCATCACGTTATCAGTAATGAATCTCCCGGGAACAAACGCGCTTTGCGCAGGAGATATGACTCTGTCCAGGAAAAGCTTCAGCCTATTTGCAAGGACCTTTGCAACGATCTTATAGAGCACATTGCATAGACTGATAGGTCTAAATTCTTTAGGGCTAGTGGGGCTCTTTACCTTTGGTATCAGCGCTATCAAAGTATAGTTCAGATCAGGCGGCATGTCCACATTTTCTATGATCCCTTTAACCATATCCACTACATCATCTCCAATAATATTCCAATAATCTCGAAAAAAAGCCACAGACAAACCATCCGCCCCAGGTGCCTTCCTCCGCCCCATCTGCTTCAGCGCCGATACAATCTCCTCCCTCTCTATCGATCTTGTCAGCATTTCGTTATCATCTTGTGTCACCGATCTGGGGATCGAGTTCAGGACCGGGGTATGCAACGGAATTTCTCCTGCTGTGAATAGCGGCCCAAAATATTCCAAGAAACACTGAAAAAGCCGATCATTTCCCGTAAACCATTGCCCGGAATCATCCCGCAATTTCTTAATCGTGTTTCGTTTTCGTCGGGCAGAAGCTTTTCTGTGGAAATAGTTAGTATTTTTGTCGCCACCTTTTAGCCAATCCGCCCTCGAACGTTGTTGCCAATAACTCTCCTCATTGTCTTCCACTTCAGCTAGTTCCTCCTCCATTTTCCATTTTTGTTCCAACACTAAGGGCGTGCTCGGCATCCTGTCTAACTTCTGTAGAGCCCTCTTGATCTTCGCTTTTTGTCTTGCAAAATTAGGAAAAGTTGCTGAGCTCCACGCTTCTAGGCTCTCCCTGCACGCGTCAATCTTCCCCATTACACCCGCACCGCCCGAGTTCAGCCACGCTTCTTCTACAATCTTAGAGCAGTCGGTATGCTTAGACCAGAACGGATCAAACCGGAAACTCCATCCCCACTTTGGTTCTTCATCAGCCTCACCCTTGGTGTCACAAATGATTGGCCTATGGTCTGACCGTGTTTTCTCTAGATGCTTAACTCGTACCTGAGGGTACAAATCCAACCATTGATCAGTTGCCACAAACCTATCCAGTCTTTCCTCAATATAACCACCTTGTCTTCTACGATTTTCCCAAGTGAACTTGTACCCTTCAAAACCCACATCACACAACCTAGCATCCACGAGGCACTCATGGAATGCCATAATATCCCTCCCCTCCCTTTGTTGCCCTCCGTTCTTTTCTTCTGCCGCTAATATTTCATTAAAGTCACCCCCACAAATCCACGGCCCATCCCACTGAGCTGCCAGCTCACGAACAAGAGCCCACGTATTCCTCTTCTCTCCTCCTTCTGGCCACCCATAAATGCCTGTAAATCTCCACTCACTACTACCTTCGTCCACTATCTTAGCATCGATGCAGTGCAAGGATGCATACCACTGTCAACGCAACCTCCTCTGTCCACCATAGGCTGAGTCCCCCCGCCCGGCCTCCTCCAGCTGTGTCAGTCGGCCAACTATCACCAAGCGTAAATCCAAGCTCACTTCTAGTAACTTCATTCTCTTCTTTTGTCTGCTTCGTTTCCATCAAGAAAATAATTTGCGGGGAGGTTTGTCGCAACAGCGACCTCAGAGCTCTAACTGCACGCTTGCTCCCCAACCCGCGGCAGTTGTAGCTAAGAAGTCTCATTTATGACCGGGAGGGGATGGGTTCCCCGCACCTTTTTGCACATTCATAACCTGCTCAGCTCTCTTATCAACCATTTTACCTGATCCAGGCCCTTGGTTGTTATACCCTCCACCAACGCTCATTGTTTGTACCATACTTATTTCCTTCAGGTTCTCTTTCGGCTTCCCTCCCCCAGCCTCTTTATTTCCTACTGTCTTCTTTGGTCCATTATCCCTTTGTAAGACTTTAACCTGCTCCTTACTCGTCTTCTTCGTCACTTCCCCCTCCTTCTTCCTTTGCTCTACTCCCTTCTTTTGTGAATCTTTATTCTTAGTATTTTTTCTCTTTTTCCCCATTCCATCGTCCCTCAGCCTTTCCTCCTTCTCCGGGTGATTAGTATCACAATCATCAGCCATTTGCTCATTATGCATGGATCCAGTAGCCTCCAACTCCTCCGTCCCCCCGCCATGCAATACGTTGAAACGGTTGTACGTAACATTACCCGGTTTTTGTCCCATCTTCACACCTCGTTGGTTCGGCCTTCTTTCCTTCCTCTTGACCGTCATCCATTCCCCAAAAACTTGCCCATTAGTAGGGTCGTGCTCCTGCATCTCCGGGACCATGTCAGTTTCCTCCGCATTGAACTCCGGCTGTTCCCGTCTGCACTCACACTCCTCAGTAGATTTTCCGTAAGTGCCACATTCCCCACAAATGTTCTCCAGCCCCTCATATTGGATCAAGTACTTTATCCCTTCAATCTTATACTGTGACAGGAGTGGTTTAGTTAAGTCAATCTCAACACATACCCTAGCGAACTGAGCACGGGCCCCTAATTCTGTGGCCCTATCTACCCGAACCGGTTTCCCAATCCTCTCCGCTATTCGCAGCACAGCTTCTTTATTGACAAACTCAACCGGTAACTCCGGGAGTTGCACCCATACTATTGTCGATTTTATGATCGTCGTCCACGGATTAAATCCCTTGAACCAACGGTGAACTGTTAAGTAAGTATCTCCCAGCAACCATGGCCCCCCTGACGACGCCAGTTCATAGTCCAGTCGGTTCTTGAATCTAACCAGGAAACACCCATTTTTTATGTCCGTAATTTGAATCTCTCCATGACGTGCCCATAAGTAGTTCAGTCTACGAGATAATGGCAAAAAGTGAACTCTTCGACCTAGTCCCTTCACGACCAACGCTGACCTCCACTCCCTCCTCCATCGAATTTTCTCTGCCGCTGTATACAATATGGAGGGGCATCTGGGGTCATCATCTTCTTCCATGATTACATCATCCTCCTCCTTCTCATACGCGGCTACATCTTCAGAATCCGAGTCTTCGACAAACCATCCTTCCTCTCCCTGCTGGTTTTTAAAGAACCTGGCCGCACTATTAGCCCACCCAAAAGGTTTCTGCTTACCATTCGTACCAGCTGGTCCCTCGCCGCTCATTGTCTCAATCTCCATCTCAGTTTCCATCCCCCCTAACCCGACCTTCTCCTTTTCCAAATCCAGCGCCCGAACTCTTTTCTTCAGCTGCACAGATTCCTTGTCGCTCTTTCTGTCAGGGGACGAGGATACTGTGGCCGGCCGACGTACACCACTTAAGTCAGGTGGCTTCTCAAGCGTGGCCGGAAAAGTTGTTGACGGTGGCGCCGCCATCGCGATCGAAAAGGTTCGCTAACTCTGAAGTCGCCTCCGCAAAACTCGGAGCCGATTAGGTTTTTTTACCTTTCAACGAACTATCCTTTAAAAAAATGGCAAAGACAGAGATCCATAGTCTAAGCAAAAACTAAGAGAATGTTCTTGCTCTGGAGAAAGTTAGATCACCGTAAAATATGAATTCTAGTTGCCAAATTTCCTTATATATAAATATATTCAAAGTTCATTTGGATACCCGATACGGAAACGAAATGGGGACTTGGGAAACCCTGCCCAAGAAATGCGACGAGTTATGCCCAAAAAAGTTCTCCAAATTCCCTGTTTTTGAACGCATTTCCAAGTAGGGTGGCTATGTGGTCCGGTCCGGTTAAATTGGACCAAATTGATCCGGTCCCAGTTCGATCTTTTTGGGAATATAAGAACCAAAGATTGGATTGGATACAGTCCGGTCTTGATCCGGTCCGGTCCCAATTTTATCTTGATTTTATGTGTTGGGGGTCTCTTATCCGGTCTTTATCCGGTTTTTTACCTCAAATTTAAGTCTGAATATGAGATTGCATTGTTTGCTATCCGATCCCAGTCCGGTCCCGGTCCGAGTTATACGGTCCGGTTTCGGGTAAAACCAAACAGTCCGGGACCAAATAGCCAGCCCTATTTCCAAGTACTTTGTCTATGACGAAATAACGTGCTCCTGTTTCAAGGCTGTGTCATCAGTTGATTGAGAGAGTATTCTCTAATGACTTCCTACTACTGCAATCTCTCAAGGGTATCACAGAAGTGGAGGATTTGTGAGATATTGTGCTATGTTCATCAATAGATTAATCTACACTGGTTTGAGTCAGCTTCTGTTCTTGTGGTTGTAGTAATCTATCTATCTATTCATAACCAACATCAAAATTAGAACAGGTTGGAATGACATGGAATCACTGGTACAGAAACTAGGTGACCAGGGAGAGAAAGCAACAGAAATTTTGGTAGTGTGGGGGGTGCACCTGCAGTTTTGGTGAAAAATACGAGATCATGTCACATATTGTGCAAACAAACGCTACCCAAGACCAATAGAAGTAAAAAGCTTAGTGTGACCAATACGAGATCATGTCACATCCTACGGGATGTTGGGTGTGTATGCATAAGTCAAATATGATAAGATGCATATGCATAAGTCAAGGTGGTTGAGTTTTTTTCCCATTGGGATATAAGGATGGCTGAGGTCTGATCCTAGTGTTTTGGCTTGATTGCTAGATGTATGGTAGAGATATGCTTTGTTATGAACTCACGATGCAATGATTGTCTCACTCAGCCATGAGCTGACCCTCTTTATCATTTTTCTCTACTTATACTATGTGTAAGCAGATCATCAGCAGTAGCAAGTACATAAGTGTGAGCAGAGCGAGGAGTTGAAGTCAAGATGAGGTATGGTCTTCAACTATTCTGTGCTTGGACGACTACTTGGGATTTTGGCCAGTGATCCACACCTTTTTGTAAAAATGTTTTGAGAACGTTTTTCATGTGCATACTAGCTTCTGTTGTAGAGTGAGATATCCACAAGTGTGGAAAGTTGATGATATGTGTATATTTGTGTAATTGTGTAAGTTTTGATGATTATGGCATGTACAAGTATGGTATGCAGTTGTGGAGTATGAAAACTGTGACTATGGCTATGAAAGCCAATGTATATGGTTGGGAGTATATATGTATGTATATGAATGCATATATTCATATAAATTATTTGCAGGTCTAGTTGCAAGAACTGTTAGCCCATTACGCGAGTAATTCATGTCGAAATTTTATTTGGGTAAATTTTGGTAATTAATGTAACACCCGAGATTATTTCCGCTGCAAATGTATGAACAATATGATTAGGTAATGCGTATAGGGTAGGGTGTTACAGTATTATCCTCGTACGTCTATTCTCGAGGCTTCTCCTGGTTCTCTCCCTTCTTGGGGTTGGCGTGGGATTCTTCATGGGAGAAATATGTTGCGACAGGGTTTGTGTTGGCAGGTAGGATTGGGCACAATGGTGGATGTTCTTCATGATAATTGGGTGCCTCGCCTTCATCCATGCCCTCCTCGTGCTCGGCAAGGGATTGTCAGGGTGGATGGGATGGTGGCTTCACTGATTCAACCTCAACAGGGGGCGTGGATGATGGATTGTCTACGTTAAATATTTGAGGAAGACACGGTTCGGGCAATTGCGGCTATTCCCCTGCCAACTGATCTCGTTCCTGATCGCTTGGTCTGGATTGGGGAGTCTTCGGGTGTGTATTCCGTTAAGTCGGGGTACCACTTAGCTTCTCAATTGCGGCGAGAGAAGGAGTTGGTGAATAATCAAGGGGTGGTTCCTTGGGATCGTGGATTATGGAAGAGGGTCTGGTCCGCACCCTTGCCTCCAAAATTGAAGTATTTCATATGGCAACTGGTGCGTCGGGTTTTGCCGACGGGGGAGGCACTCAGCCTGAGGGGGGTTGTTGGTGTGCAGGAGTGTCCGGTGTGCGGGGAGGAGGAGGAGTCTCTTGAACACCTCTTCTTCCGCTGCCGGGTGGCCCAGGGGGTCTGGGGAGGGACTGGTCTAGATGGTGTTCGAGAGAGTTTCCCCCAAGATCACTTGGAAACTTTCTGGAGACGGTTCCTCGAGCAGGATAACTTGGATTGTCAGGTTTTAATGCAGGTCGTGGCGCTGTTTTGGCGGACTTGGAAGGCGCGGAATTGGGTGGTATTTGACTTTACTCTATACACCATACCTGTTCTGCTTTCTCAAATACGTTTGCAGGTGGTGGAATGGGAGGTGGCGAATGAGGTACATCAGGTTGGGGATGGTGGTGGTGGCATGACCGGACATTCCGGGGGTCTTAGTCAGGTTCTCAACCCGGGCCTTTGGGTGGTTCGGGTTGATGGGGCTGTGAGATGCGGGTCTCATGGTGCTGGGGGTTGGGTGTTACAGGATCTGTTGAGAAGAGTGGTGACTGCAGAGGCGAGGTTATATGAGTTCATTGAGGATCCTTTCCTTGTGGAGCTGCTGGCTTTCCGGGATGCGATGGTGTCTAGCACGGGGCTTGACAACGATTCTTTTTGCGGGGGATGCTAAGGTCGTCATTGACAAGCTCTTGGCAGGAATGACCGATGATACCCGTGGGTGGGGGGGGGGGGGACGATTCTCGAGGAGATGATGGTGCTTCGTCGATCCTTTGTGCATTTCTCTGTCCAGTTTGTTGGTAGCCGTTGTAATAGGGTTGCCCATTTGGTGGCACGAAAAGCCCTTTCATTGTTCCCTTCGTTAGTTGGGTTCAATTTGGTTGCTTGGCTGTTTTCGGCCATTTGAACTCTTTTGTATCTAGCTGTTTTCTCGGTAATACGAGCGATCGTTTTGATAAAAAAAAGTTAAACAACGGGGAAAAAAAGAATAGCGACAAAAAGAATTTTGAGCCCTATATTTGTAAACTAATTAGGTTGATACTGAAATTTTTGCTATTAATTTTCTACCAAATTATTGTAACGTGACAGGTAAACAAAATATATTTAGAAATTAGGATGTGTTTGGATAGAAGGATTTGTAGTTGGTATTTGTAATTTGGATTACTAATTATCAAATCATTCATTTGGATATTAATTATATTTGGTATTTGGATATGTCTCAAATTCATGGTGCGATTTTCAAGTACATGTCTGGTGTATTACTTATCAACTTCAAATACATTTCAACAACTAGTGATTCTAATTTCCTCCTACACAAAAGATTGAACTTGTTTGTAAAATATTAGAAGTTTAGGTATTATAGTAAGAGGCATAACATATAAAGGTACCAAAACATAATTTTACCACAAAAATTTCTAAACATTTTTGTAAATTTTTAAAGTTTCAAATTGTAAGAAAAAATAAATTTGGACACCAAAACAAAATTTTACCATGGTAATTACCAAACTAAATAAGCCAAAATTCTATTAACCATGAAATACAATATTAAAACCAAACCGTCCAAACTAATACAACAACCAAATTAACCAAACTAAAGTTTAATCAGTTTGGTTAATTAGTTAACCATAGTAATCAATATAACATCACATTATCATTAAGTGAGAAAACTTCCGATTAGTTCAACAATTCACAATTTATATAGTGAATAACAAATAACAATCAACACATAATTATAGGTCGCCCTTAACATAAATACATGTAACTAATACAATTATCTTACATTTGACTCTTGAGTGGTTATGCAAAGTATTAAGTATGTGTATATAATATATGGCAAAGGCTAGCGTACATCAGGCGTACATTGTACGCCTCTGTTCACACTTGGTTTTTGCACTTCAATATATTTTGCTGAATCAGAACCATCAGTTATAATTTTTTTAGATTAAATAAATTTTGTGGTTTGAGTTGGATAATTAGGGACTGAGGTTCGCCCATTAGAGATTAGCGTATAGTATCATGCCCCAACCTGTGATTAATTCATACTTTAAATAGTAAAATTCGACCCGCGTATAATGTATGTCAGACATAGACTGAAATCATATATATATATATAGGTGAATCATCTTCAGATTAACAGGCTGGCATTGCAACTATAAGACAACAATTAAAAGGCGATTTTTTAAGTTTCCCCTTGCATTATTGTCAAACTC